AATAATAATAATAATAATAATAATAATAATAATAATAATAATAATAATAATAATAATAATAATAATAATAACTGCCTTCAGAGTTTCTTTTATGAATGGCTGCAGTTTTAGAGGTTCTGTTGATAGTACCTTGGTTGAAATAACATTGGAAGACACCTAACAACTAAGTAACTTTTAGTTACTAACTAATTGAAAGCAAGAGGTAGGAAAGATCAGTAAACAAAAGGGGAGAGATATTTAAAAAGAGTACAAGCTGTGTACTGGAGAATTCACCCTAGAAGCCCAAAGAAACTTCAGGTTTGTAATTCTATATTCAGTTACCTCGTTAGTTTGTCAGATGGTTTTTGAACCTACTAAAGTTAGTGGTAACATGCAGTGGTGGGATTCAAATATGTGAACAACCGGTTCTCTGTGTAGATGCCGCTTCTGGAAGTCCATTCTGGGCCTGGGCAACAAAAAATTAGCTACCGGTTCTGCCAAAGTGGCGCGAACCGGCTGAATCCCAGCACTGGTGACATGTCTGAGGGACAGATGGTGATCAGCAGTTCAAAAGCAAATATTATCAGTTTGATAGTTTCATAATCCCTTCCTCCCTTGCAATGGGCACTTGAAGTTGTCTGTTAGATCTCTGAGGCAGATCATATTAGGAAACAGACCCAAGAAATACGAGAATTCTTCATTACAGGTAGTCCTCAACTTACGGCCACAGCTGAGCCTGAAATTTATGTGGCTAAGTGAGAAATCTGTTAAGTGAGTTTTGCCCCATTTCACTTTTCTTGTCACATTTGTTAAGTGAACCACTGCAGTTGTTAGTAAGTGAATCTGGCTTCCCCATTGACTTTGCTTGTCAGAAGGTTGCAAAAGAGGATCGCATGACCCCGGAACATTGCAACCGTCATAAATATGAGTCTGTTGTCAAGAATCCGAGTATAAATCACGTGACCATGGGGATGCTGCAATGGTCATACGTGTGAAAAATGGTCAGAAGTCACTATTTTCAGTGCTGTTGTAACTTCGAACGGTCACTTAATGGACTGTTCTAAGCCGAGGACTACCTGTATTGGATGTAAGCTATAACGACAGAATCTTGAAAGTGTGACCCAGTTTTTCTTTCCCCTCCCTCTGCTACCAAAGAGAGGGAAAGCGGGCTGACCTCAAGTTTCTCCTTCACTTCTTTTGTGTCTTTCCAGACTAAGTTCATGTTTTACTAACAGCTGCCTCAGACTTTGTTCAGGCCATACTCTTCTGCACCACATTGTCAGAAGAAAAAAAAAATCAAGTGCATTCTTCAGAGTTTTTTTTTTTTTTTAAAGAACTCGATGATAGACTTTTTTTCAGTGTTTTAAACACACTTTAGGTAACAAGGCCATCTAGACATGTTTGTATGAAATAATGCAGAAAAGACTTGCTTGAGGAATAGTATAGAAATCTTTAATTCCACTATCTGAAAATTTTGATTTGTTTATCAAACCCTACCCAAGCTTAGATCGGTGAACCTTTGACAGCTTTGTTTAGTCTACCAACTCAGGGCTGCTCCTTTCACCCGCGTTGGCAAAGCCTGAGCCTTGAAATGAGGCGTGTAGCTTTTATTAATCATTATATAACCACCTAAATGGCTGGTTAGATATTACCTCCAGTTAAGAATCGATTCAACCTTTGGAGCAATCTTTGAGGCACCTTGCACATAATCTTTCTGAGTTTTATTACCAGATTAAGCTTTCCATATTGCGTATCACTCCCGAAATAAATTTTGACAGGCCAGTCAATGTTAATACAGTATAGAAACACACCTGTTAAGTCCTGGCTGGGAATAAATACAACAATAAACCATGATTTACTATTGCATTAAAGTAAGAGTCGAGTTACTTACCTTTCCTTCTCTCCTTCTCTGATGCGATTCTGGGATCAGAGGCGTTTGTTTCTGCTTTCCACTGACTAGGCAGCGTTTGGTTTTGTCGTTTTCACAACAAGCCAATTACACTGATGAAGCTAGTAAGTCAGAGTTTAGATGTTATGGTTTTGTGTTATGTGGTCACTTTCCTTTTGTGTCATACGGTCACTTTCCTTCCACTTTCCTTCCCACAGTCTCTTGTTTAGGGAAGTTCTTACTCTTCTTAGAACCAACCCTATCATTGGGTATAGTGAGGCACTCTAAGGAGACAATGAAGGTAGTCTAACTCTAATATCTCACTGGGAGCAAAGCCCCCCTGGCCTTCTGAACCTTCACAAAGTCCTGAGTGACCTTTTTTCTGGCGTTGCAGCTGAAAGTTGGTCACGTGCTTGTCTGGGATGAACAACATGCCTGCATGCTTTCTGATGGGGCTCAAGGTTGACCCAGCCTTCCATCTTTCCAAGGTCGGTAAAATGAGGACCCAGGTCATTGGGGGCAATATGCTGTCTCTGGAAACCGCTTAGAGAGGGCTGTAAAGCACCGTGAAGTAGTATATAAGTCTAAACCAGGGGTCTTCAACCTTGGCAACTTTAAGACTTGTGGACTTCAACTCCCAGAATTCCTCAGCCAGCAAAGCTGGCTGAGGAATTCTGGGAATTGAAGTCCACAAGTCTTAAAGTTGCCAAGGTTGAGGACCCCTGGTCTAAACGTTATTGCTATTGCTAATTATGAGCCAGCCAGTGAAGCAATTTCAAATGTAGGCATCTGGAGTACAGTTTACTAATTGTAATTAGGAAAATAACTATGAAGCGGTATATAAGTCTAAGTGCTATTGCTATTATGTATTTGCCACAATCTGTATACCGGTAGTCCTCCACTTACAACAGTTTGCTTGGTGACCATTCGAAGTTACAACGGCACTGGAAAAAAAGGGACTTATGACCATTTTTCACACTTATGACCACTGCAGCATCCCCATGGTCATGTGATTTACATTCAGAGGCTTGACAACTGACTCACATTTATGACGGTGGCAGTGACCCAAAGTCATGGGATCACCTTTGGCCACCTCCTGACAAGCAAAGTCAACGGGGGAAGCCGGATTCACTTAACAATCGTGTTACTAACTTAACAACTGCAGTGCTTCACTTAACAAATGTGGCAAGAAAAGTCATAAAATGAGGCAAAACTCACTTAACTAATGTCTCACTTAGCAACATAAATTTTGGGCTCAATTGTGACCGTTAGTTGAGGACCACCTGTACAATTCCCATGCCAACCTGGGGAGTTTAAAGAATTACAAACTATTACATATTTTTTTAAAAAACAGAGCTACAGCACAATGAAGACTTTGAGGTTGACGTGCTTCCAGTGGCCATTGTGTTACTGAAGGAAGGGCATCTATCCCATCACCTTATTTATAGTGCCTTGCTTTGAGGCAGGTGTTTGTGTGTGTGTGTGTGTGTGTGTGCCTTGAATTTTACTTTTCACTGCATTGCAAAGGCTTTCCATGAAGAAAATAATGTTTATAGAATGAAATGTTTCAGGAAGTGATAATGTTTGTGTCAGCTTTGAATCAAGTCTTTTGCTCCATTATTTTGATTCTTTAGTTTACCCAAGACATGTGCCTTCTTGGAAAGGGAAGAAGGACAGCAATACATGGCTATTTTTCAGTCTCTCCGTTTACATGGTGTCACTTCAAGTAAGTTTACTTTTTTTTCTTCTTTCAACTTAGGATTAGTCAGAAAATCAGATGTCCTAAATTTTGTGATGGCAAAAACCAATATTTATTTGTAAACATCCATCAATTCAGTAAGATAGAGCCAGTGACATAAACGGTATTTCTGGACAGCAAACAATTTCTATCAACACAGTTTATATGGAACTTTACAAAACAAGTTTCAAAGTATCCCATAGATATATATATTAAAGAAAATTATTAGCATGTAGCTGTAAATACATACAAAATATATATTAAAATTCTTCTATCTACATTTTCTCTGTTATATTTTTTCCATTTGGGAACAAGTTGATTGAACTATGATATCTCCTGACACCTTGCAAAGCCTTTATAAATTTTCTCAATCAAGGAAAGGGACTCCAAATTTTGTACAGTCCCACTTCTACCCCATAATTAATTTTCACTGACACTTCAAAAAATAAAGGAAAAAGTAGTTATTGGAAATAACTCTTTGAATCTGTAAAGTGTTTATATTTTTTCATCTTCAACCACTTGTTTAATAATATATAAGGAAATAGTATAAACATACATTTGATACCTTAAAGTATAATACATTATAAAAAGCATAATCTAATTGATAGTAGATTTGGTAGGGCTCCAGGCCCCCAAAACAGGTAAGTCCTGCTTTCTTTGTCCTTACTTGGATGGGTCTGTGACAAGCATGATGGCTCTGCTGGCTTTGACAGCATGAATCACTCATTTGGGAGTGACCAAGCCCAGTCACATTGCTTTGACACACCCAAGTTCTCCAAGAATTAATCAGTGCTGTGACAGTAGATCTAACCATGCAACATTCTGTTCTGATGACTGATCTGTCATATGCATTGCCCACCATTCTGTGCAACTATTTCAGGTCAAGTCAGTGAAAAAGAAAAGAAATCTGACTCCATCTTTAGATCTAACATTTTTTACTGCTTTTCTTGACTTGATGCCCACCAGATGTGATGGAATTATAACTCCAAACCATCATGCTTATTTATCAATTCTCTCTCTCTCTCTCTCTCTCTCTCTCTCTCTCTCACACACACACACACACACAAACACACATCCACAACACTACCACCTCCCACTTGTCTTCAACAACTCAGTGAGAGAGGTTGGGTTGAAAGAGAGTGGTTGGCACATGTTAGCCAGTGAGGGCAAATCTTCCCAATACCCCAAGTCTAGCTTTTAATCAGTACATCAGATACGTATATAGTTCCAGCTACGGTATGTGAAATGTATTGTCTACTTGTTGTGGTGGCAAAGGAATAAGTGAGTGGAAAGCGTCTTTATTCACATTCTTTAAAGGAAACAACTCAGCTATATTGTAAGCTCCAACAATAATTGCTTTCATTTGCAGGCTGATGGTATACTTACTCCTTTCAATCTAGAAGAAGCACTTAAAATCTCCACCTCATAGATTTCAAATGCATTTTTTCTCTAAATCAATGTTTCTCAAACTTTGAAAATTGTAGAGTGTGGACTTCAATTCCCAGAATTTCTCAGAATGCTTGCTAGGGAATTCTGGGAATTCAAGTCCATACATATTTAAGTGGCTGAGGTTGAGAAACACTGTCCTAAATCAAAGCTATGCAATTTCCACTTGAGGTCACCTTAAGATTAGTATGATATGTTGATGACTGCATTGCGACATTGGCCAAGAGCCTTTGGGGGGAAAGAGAGTCAAGCATTTTAAGGAGTGAAATGAATGTCCCATAATGTTGGAAGATTTAAGCCATCCATTTTGCTTTAATCCCCCCCCCCAAAAAAAAACAGAGGCCCCCAACTCTAGGAGTCTGGGGTAAATGACATTCTTTGCACCCCTGTTGTGAGCAAATGATAAGAAATATTTAGCGGTGGTTACACAAAAATGATTGCCAAATCTATTTTTCATTGTGTGAACATCCCAAAAGGAGGTGAATAGAAAACTGGGCCAATGTTGTTAAACTTGATCCTTGGCATGTTTGGCTGGCAGAAACACATGACAGGGAGACCTGCATGACTATAGACTATGCAAAACTTCAACTCTGACAAGTTTAGATTATTTGCATTGTTGACACAAGAATGCTTTTGTTTAACAATGTTTAATTCTGTTAACATTACAAGCAAAAGCAGGAATGAGCACTGGGTGAAAAGTGCAGCCGGGAATAACGAATTGCCTTAAGGTGCTTCTAAACTAGGGTTTTATTGAGCAATTGTCAGGCTTCTTTCAGAGCATTTTAATTGGAAGGCAAAGGCCATTTTAAAAAAGGCACTTGTGTCTTGCACAAGAGCCTAAGCTACAAAAAACTAACTAAAGTTAAACGTAATCAATCTTGATACGTTAGGAAAGAATTAAGTTGTACCACTACAGCTCACTGGGTTTAAATCCAGATTCCTAAGGTTTGGGAAGGGCTGCAGATAAATTTCATAATGACAGATTCATGATTGCGGCAGTGATGGAGGAGATAGTGACACAGGAAGAAAAGATTTTGTTGTATAATTTGCCAGATACAAATAATCAGATTGGTGTAGCAGGATAGACAGGTAGGGCTAATGGGTGAGGATACATAGATAAAAGGCCAGGAGGCTGAAAGCGTTTGTGAGTAGTCAGTGAGGAATAGGAAAAATAGTGCAGGAAGTATTCAACGAAAGAAGAGAAGAGCAAATTAGTGAATTAATTATTTCAATTTTGATGCAACTCAGTTCTGGGCGGTTCACAGCATAAAATGTTCCAAACACTCTAGTGATGGTACTACCATTGCCCAAGTACCTTGCTGAGATTCCTTGTCCAGTCAGCAGATCCTCAGATAAGCCGTGAATGGTTTCCAAAAGCAGACAGACTATCCTATATCTTTTGCTGAAGGAATGGGTTTCACAACGTAGGATCTATAAAGGGGATCTTGTCCAATGCCTGTTGCATAATAATCTTATTTTAGAAAGTAAGGAGGAATAATTATCCCAAAGCTTTCTTAGCTACTGTTCATGTTCTTTCATAAACTGTGGCGTTTTTAAAAACCCAGCTTCACCTCATATATATTAATTCCTGTTATATTCTTATTATACCATTACCTAGCCAATTTGCCCATAAGTTATTCTCCCTATTGTATCAGAAACAGCTTTTTCTTTGATACTGAATAATATAAATGAAACAACTGAATTGTTGCTTTTGTCTTTCCCAAAGGCAGACATCTAGAGGAGCTATGGGAAATTAATTTCTTTCCTTTGCCGTGGCTTACAAGGATCTTGTCTGATCATTACCATGCAGTGAGTTGGTATGCTTAGTGTGAAAATGGCTCAGTCTGGATTGATTTTAAACTCTAGCTTTTTCATAGCAGATATTCTCACAGCATACCTTTGTATATGTGCGGGGACCCTGCATTAAAACAAAAACCTTTAATTTGGGACTGTACTTCTATATTTGATGGCATTACCCAGTTCCAGACACAGAAATATAGAACACAGTAGAACATACTGGACAAACACGTATGGCCATATTAATATCACTTCTAAGTTTGTGTAATGAAGCTGATATGAAAAGTGAACAGTTTCACCACATTGTATAGCAATAGCATTGTCCAGACTGCAAATTAATACTTAACTCTTATTTTGCAAAGACTTTTACCAAAAAAAAGAAAGGAAAAAAAGCAAGAGTTTACTTCTCTTGACTTGAAGGTGATGCAGAAAAAAAAGTCTTTTCCAAGTCCTGATAACTGAATGTACACAACCATGTAGTTGTCATGGCAGTGAACAGAATTGATTTGCTACTGTCTTCGTAAAAGAACAACATAATAGCAGAGTTGGAAGGGACCTTGGAGGTCTTCTAATCCAACCCTGGTCAAGCAAGAAACCCTATACCATTTCAGACAATTGGTTGTCCAATCTTTTCTTTAAAACCTCCAGTGTTGCAGCATTCACAACTTCTGGAAGGAAGCCATTCCACGGATTAATTGACCCCCAACCTCTTTGCAAATCCAGCCTTCCAAGATGTTTATTCAACACCCTTCCCCCACAGTCTAGTCTATAGCTTTGTCATTTCCAGGTAATGTCCCACTTTTTGTCTGACCTTGATTAGCTCTTTTTTGAGATCAGACAAGTTTACCAGGTGCTGGATATTAGTTTATAAATAGGAATAGTGAATGTTTTCATTACTTTGTGAAGAAACACACTGACCATTCATCCTGCTGTAACTAATTCTCTGTTTGAACATGTTTGAACATTCTCTGTTTGAAAAATAGTTCAGTTAAATCATTTAATAGGTCAGTTTAAAGGTCAGGAATGGTGGAAAAATCAGGGAGCCATGAAACCATTATCATTTAGATATCAGATTTAAGAGTTTGGGTCATTTCATCTGTCAAATATAGCATCTTTCTAGAGTCATCCAACTATTGTTGTGTCAATCATTCTACAAGATATTATAAAGGGCAGAAATATAATCCTTTGGTCATCTGTGAGAGTATTACAGATGATTCTGATATGGGTGACAATATATTGTATCCATGTCTTAGCAGAACTTAGCAGAATTCTAAAATCTGCAAAATGTCTGTTTTTGCCCAAATCTTACAAAATTTCAGATGGGCAAGCTCATGATCTTTTGGGCCACTTAGTTAAGTTTTGAAGTTTGCATGACATACTGAACTTCCCTATGCCATGACTCACATAAGCAGGTCATGCTAGTGTGATGTAAGGAACAATGATGTAAGCAATTATAAATGCCATCCAAAACAGAAAACTTGTGACATTATATAAAATTGATAAGAAAATTGGCATACGGCTGAGGTTCAATTGCATTTTCTGTTCAGTTTTATTACATACTATATTTAAATAAAAAGACCAAATTTATGGATGCTATAATATGAAAGATTTTATTTTCCTTTCAGCTACAGAATGGTGGTGACATGGCCTTTCAGGCAGACTTTAACACCCAAGCAGTGAGATTTGGTCTGATGCTCACGCAGGTAAGCTGTGAAGAACTTGCTAAATTAAGTGGGAGAAATGACAAAATGCAGTCAACAGAATCTCTTACACAATCTTCCAGGGCAATATTGATGGGAATAAAGTGCACTGCTGAAACCAAAGAAACAGACTGTAATACAATTTATCCCTAATCTGTCTACACTGTAGAAATTTTCAACTAACATCCCACCTATAATTGGCAAATTGAAGGTGGGCAATAGAGATCATACTGTAACATATATCTGCAGGGCATTGGGATTTTCATTCTGCTGTTTTTAACAAAAAAGAAAAAAATATTATTTTGACAGCAACTAAGTTTATGGAAGCTTTAAAATGTATTTGTTTTTATCATAATTCTACCCAAAGATATTCAAAACTTTTTGTATACTTACAAATTAAATGTACGTAAGATACATCCTATACAAATTCGATTAAAGAATAAATCCCATTAAATTTATGCAACTGACTTCTGCATAAACACATATGGGCTTGCATTGCAATGATTTTACAATGATGAGAAAATGATATTGCAATGCTATACTAGATATATCTATTAGAAGTCCAATTGAATTCGGTGGGATTACTTTGAGAAAAAATAAGTATTTTAATCTTAAACACATGCTAAATTTTCTCACCGAACTGAATGAGACATCAAAATGCTTAAGTTTGGTTAGATTAGTCTCTGTATTTTTCTTACTCTTCCAACAATATTTTTTTTGAAAAATCTGGGATATTTACAAACTATGTATACAAATACAAATGTAATATATACATGTATGGAATCTCAGTTAATAACTTACATTATTTGTGGACAATGATACAGGAAACAAGTAGTATTTCACTGCTCTAAAAATTCTTAACAGGGATTAGTAAAAGGATACAAATGATAATTTTCCTGTAGAGAATTAATGAGGCATTAATGAGTTATTTATTTCTCATAACTGATGCTTTTCTGATATTTTAAGACACTGGAATAGCATGCCTTTATTTATATACATTAACATGCTGATTATTTCAGGAACCAAGATATCATGCAGAAGTAATTTCCATTTATGGATTCTTCTTTGAGCTAAAAGCAATAAAACATGACGCTTCAGCATACAGTTTTTACATGAAAGTAAGAACAGCATTTCTATGATCCTTGAGATTCAAAGTAATATTCGGACTATTTATTTCTGTTTGAAAGTATTGTAGGCGATCATCATCTACACCCAGAAGGATAACTTTAGCTATTTTGACTTATGTTGACAGTGGAAAATGAAAATATATTCATATAGTGAGCAAATTAGCTTGGGGAACAATAATCTACATATGTTTACCTGAAAAGAAATAACTGAAGTGCTTAGTATTGGTGGTTTTGCCTCTTCTTTATATAGTAAGTCCCATGTTAAGGATTTTTTTTTTAATCTAATGAATTCTGAAGAAAGGATTGGGAGAGGAAGAAGCCTCTAGCACAGGGGTCCACAACCTCTGGGTAGTGGACTGGTATCGGTCTGGAGCCTGTTAGGACCAGGGCCGCACAAGTGGTATGTGAGCGAGCAAAGCTTCATCTGTGCATGCACAAGATCTAGGTTGCATGTGAAACCATCACCCCTCCCCCATGGAAGACAATTTTTTCTTCCAAAACTGGTCTCTGGTGCCTGAAAGGTTGGGGACCGCTAGCAGGATAGACAGAGCGTGCTGTGACATCAAATGATTTTCAACATTTTTATTTGAATAAATAAACATGAATTAAAAAATTGAGCTAGAATATGCATTCAACGTGATAAAAAACACAAAGAAGATTACACCTTTAATATTTCTGGCAGTAAGGAGGAAAGAAATAATGGAGCCTTGCTGAAATTTTTGTGTGTGTATGTGTGGGTGCTCTGGGGCAGTATCCATTTATTTTATAGGCCTTCACATGGGAAAATATTTTGGTAGCTTATGTTCCATTTATGTCTAGATAGCTAGATATTTGCAGATCCAATAAACTCACTTTTCCTACTCAGATGCTTTCCAGATAAGTTGTTTGCACTGGTCAAGAATTCTAGGAATGAAGGCACAACTTATCTTAAGAGTGTCATATTGGACAACACTAACTCCTGCTTCTCTTGAAGTTCTGTATTGTATGATCAAGGTGTGTAGGAGGGTAACTGGTCCTCTCTTGACCCCAATGATTTCCTCAGCTGATCTGTTATTTCAAGATCAGATCCAGGCCTTAAGTTTACACCTTGGTATGCAGAGATGATTGGATTTGCTTGGTCATATGACTCAGGATGTCCTGAGTTGAACTCTATAGTGATAATGTGCTGAAAGAAAGTCCTAGGCAGCATTAGAGAAAGAGAAATTTTATACTATTTTTCTCTCCTGATCTTTGTTCTCATCACTCTGTTTAATCTTTTTTTCCCCTTGCGTTTCTTGCCAAAATAATCTCTTTCTATTAAAAAAAGTTCATTTAATCCTTAAATTGTGCCAGTGGAGAGATGATATCCTATCATATGTTAGGGGTTTATTAGTAAAGGCTTTTGAATAACTTCAGCAAATAAACCTAGGTGAGGAAAGAATTGAATTTACACCCCACCCTGTCATTTCAGAGAGTCAGACATGCAGATCCAATTATTTCTTACTTCACTGCTGAGCGTAGTCCTGTCAGTTTACAGAAAGAACGGGAAGTTAAGTATGAAATAAAAGCACAGTGCCAAATAGATGAAAAGTGGGAAGAATTCACCACAGAAAGGCTTACTCAAAGGTTTGGAGTTAAGAAACCTTCTTCTAAAAGCAAGGTGAGGAAAAAGCAAAAGAAATGTACTAATTATTTTAAAACTTTTTTTGTGGTAAACAGTGAAATCAGGACAGAGCTTCAGTAATCTCTTGGGTCTTCTGGGTTATTTAAGAAAAATAACTTTGTAGTCAAAGGCCTAGATTACATGAACGGTGATCTAAGGATTATATGGGAATAAATTGCAAGACAAAAAATGCAGTTAGACCATACGTTCGGACACATTTTAAACAATTACAAAATATTTGTGTAAACATGTGAAATAATTATAATGGACTTCTCAATTAAAATGTCTTAGATGGTTTTGAACAATAATTTAGAATTTGGACTAGACAATATAAATTCACAAGATGGAAAGAAATCAAGACAGAGCAGAAAACACAATATTTAAAACATGCCCGGTTACATCTGATTACTTAAATAAACATTTGTATGTTGCCTCTTCCATTGATTTGGTGACTTACTATAAATGAAGGAAAAAGGGTTCATTAGATCACAAGGTCCACAAAAGATTCATGAAATCAGGAACAATCCACAATAAATAAAAACATAAATACTACTAAAGAACAATTACTACAGTTAGATAAGTTTGTCCTCCCCAAATATCCTTCTAAAAAGGGTTTTATTCACTGTTTCTTTAACAACATAAAGGAGGAGCACTTCTGCTCTTTGAGAGGGGCCTGCAACTGAGCACGTCAATCTCAGGGTCCCAACCCTGTTAGGATGGGCACCAGAGCTTCCTCTATTTCTTGGACCAGGGGTCCCCAATCCCCGATTCATGGCCCAGAACCGGTCCACAGTCCATTGGGAACCGGGGCCACACAAGCAGCATGCGAAGCTCCCATTTGAGCAAGCGGCATGCATGTGAGCGAAAGCTTCCTCTTTCCACCACTGCTGCTGCTGGTCTGCAGAGCCAGAAATGTCGGGGATTGCTCTCCTAGACCATGGATAGTCTTCACACTAATTCAAGCTTATGCATTACTAAGAAACCATCAGAGTGAAATAAGGCAAGGGTCCCATGGGAGGAAGTTCTGTCAGGAAGGGGAGCTTTTCTAACAAAGTTCATTAAGGTTAAAATGAAAAGAAGCAATTATTTAAATCAGGGGTGTCCAACCTTGGCAACTTTAAGACCTGTGGACTTCAACCCACAGAATTCCCCAGCCAGTTACGCCTGCTTTAGATATTATCTTTCTAGGCAAGCTGAGTAAATATTTGCAGGTGTATCTTATTTTCCTTTTTCCCCTTCTAGCAAAAAAGAAAATCAATTTTTGTCTTATTGGTCCCATAAGTAGACACATTTTAACCCTTCCTCTTTTCCCCCCCAAACATAGATCTTGAAAGCAAGAATACCATCAGTTCCCATCTATGTGACATTTTCGCTTCTTTTCCTATCATCTTAAAAGATCACATCTGTTCCTATATCAGTGAACTCATTCTGACATGTAGCAAACAAAGAAGAGTTAGAACTGAAGATGTTCCCGCAAATGACTACAGTTTCTATAGCATGAAAATAAATTGTACCCTCTCTCATCATATTCAACTCACTGGGACATTGACCTTATTCATATTCTGCTTTGGACAAATGTTACAAATAGTTTGACCTTCCTAAACCAGGTACCTTTCGGTAAGATTGTCATATTGACTGGGAATGCTGAAATACTGTATGTAACCAATAACTAACTAATCTTGAAGTAACACATTAGGGAGATCTGGTTCACGTCTCCTTAAGCATGTATTCCAATCAGCGGTATGGTCCTAACTAACAAGTAAACGACCTTCCATGTGTAGAAGAAATTTAATTTCTTTCTTCTTTCTTCTCTCAATTTATCCAGCTGGCCTGCAGCCAACTTCACTGTGATTCCCATAAATAGTGGTGATGAAGCAATAAGATTACCATGCCAACCCACTCCAGCTTCCCCTCCCACTGCACAAATTCCACAGGAAGCACAAAAAATTGTAGATGATTCCAGATGAATATACAATATGCATGATTCATGACAATTAGAGCAGATGTTGATATCCTTTAACCATCAGATCATGTTTTACCTGTTTTTTCTCCCTTTTTAATCTTAACAATTGTAAGGCAGAAAACTCAGCACAAAACTTCTCAGGAGAAGATATGTTCCATCAGGTTCTCATCAAACTGAATTTGGTGAAGAAATGGCTTATTCTCTGTCCTCTGAAGCAACTGGACACCTACTGAAATTTCTTTATAGATTTTTCTTTATACAGGTGGTCTTCAACCTATACCTAGTACAATGACCACAATGGTTTACAGCCAAAATTCCAGGGTCAGTTATGGTCTCAAGTTAAGGACTACCTGTATATAAATTCTTTTGATATATACGTTCTTTATAGAATTTATAACAATTTTAATTAAATTTGTCTTCATCCTTCAGAGATAAATTAAGAACAAGATTATCCTTCTGTATTTAAATAACATGCAAATGAAAAACGCCCACTTGCAGGAAGGCATGAATTTCAGTACTGCAGTAATTTTATTATTTTCTTTTGTAGATAATTGTTGATAATCACCAGTCCTTTGACTCTATTACCCAGTTAGTTTTTGGAATAAAAATAGATCATTGGTTGAGAAAACAAGGAATGGGAAGAAATCAGACCACAGCTAATAGTTTGTTTTTCCTATAGTTCACTATTTTCATCATCATAATGAAAAGCCAAACCTAAAAACTCTTTTGTGTTTTCTCCAATTCTTTTCTACTAATTCTTTACTAAGAAACCGAGCTCTCATTTTATTGTGTTAAGGATGTCTAAGAAGAACAGCACTTGTCTGCTTTTCATTATGATGATGAAAATAGTGAAGTATAGTTACCATAGGAAAAACAAACGATGAGCTGTGGTCTGATTTCTTCCCATTCCTTGTTTTCTCAACCAATATCTATTTTTATTCCAAAAACTAACTGGGTAATAGAGTCAAAGGACTGGTGGTTATCAACAATTATCTACAAAAGAAAATAATAAAATTACTACAATACTGAAATTCATGCCTTCCTGTGAGTGGGCGTTTTTCATTTGCACTGTTATTTAAATGCAGAAGTATAATCTTGCTCTTAATTTATCTCTGAAGGACGTAGACAAATTTAATTAAAATTCTTTATAAATTCTATAAAGAACATATATATTGAACCAATTGCACTTTGTAGATTGTAGTAGTAGATTGTAGTAGATGGTAGATCTACTGCATACAGCTCCTGAAGTCCCATTTCATGGTTCCAGGTTTCCTCCAGACAATTTATTAAATTATCATTTTCATGCAATCAAATTAATGGTTATATATTTTATATTACATCTGAGCTCACATCTAGCTAGGCATACTAGCTATATAATATTACCCATGCTTTGCATGTCAGTTTTTATACAGAATCTTTGTACCTCCAGTTACCTTTGGAAAGCTTCAGGTACCAGTACCAGATGATATATAAGATCTTTACTTGAGACTCTGGTAATCTTCTGCCACTGAGGTTATTCATTATTTTCTTAGATGGGTGAGTAATTTGACCTGATACAAAGAAGTGTCCTAACCATGAATATTTCTGTCAAATAGTCTTTAAAAAAAAATTAGGATATTTGGGTATGTATAGATACTCAGCTGTAGTCCTGGGTATGTTTATTCTACAGCAATAAGCAAGCCTTCAGTCGTGGTTGCCAGCATTGATGGCATCCCATGATTGTTAAGCGTGGCAACTCCTTTCAGGTTTCCCAAACCAAAATCAGTGGGGAAGCCACCAGGAGAGTGCAAATCCCAGGCCAGCAGACTAGTAATGACTGCAGCTAGGTGGGAGAGGGAGCTAGGAGGTACATGTGGGAGGGATGGGAGAGAGTAGGGAGGACATACAAAGTGCAAAAGAGGCTCAGGGAGGGTACATGAGAGTGCAAGGAAAGATTAGGGAGGATGTGTGAGTTGCCGGTTTAGCAGAAGCGCAAAGGGGGCTGGAGCAGACTGTGCAGGTGGGAGAGATTTAGCCCAACAAGTTGCAACCTTCCCTATTGGCTTGCTCATTAGCTTTCCTGGTAAATTGGCAGGGAAGGTTGCAGATGATGATCACGTGATCATGGGATGCTTGGCAAACTATTGTAAGGGCCACCTGGCTGCCAAACACCCAGATTGCGATCACATGAACACCGGGGTGTGGGGTGGATAGAACTCTGAGCACTAGTCATAACCATCTTTGTTCAGTGCCACTGTAATTTCAAACTGTTGTTGAAACAAATGATTGTAGGCTGAGGACTATCGATATTTATTCTTTAATTTTACTCCCTCAACGATGAAGCACAAAAAGGCAAATTTAATTAAATCCCATAAAACAGAATGAGCATGCCCTATCATTAATAAGCTGCCTTACAGATAAATATAGTCTATTTTTAGTCAGTATTTAGGCAAGTAGTCTCTTTTGTCCAATTAACAAATTGCAAAGCAATTTCAGTTTTCAAGATCTTGTGTGCTTGAATGTTCCTGCCCCATTTGGCAAGTTCTGAAACAGTGCATGAGATGAGAAGGCAGAAAGTGCCTACAGCTATGGAAAGTCCAGCATATCCATCTCTTACATACTTCATGAATAAGCTTTCAAATCTTCTGCACCGTGTTTGCATGTGGGCAGGATAGCTGGGCATCCAGAAAACAGGAAGTGCGTTCTTGCTGCTGGGCCTTTTCTTTAATGACACTTGATGCAAAAGACTCCTTCAAAACTGCTTTGCAAAGCAACAGGGCACCTTTTTCTTTCTCTCACTCTAAAAACCAAACCAAACCAAGCCAAGCCAAGCTGGCTAATCATGCAGCTCTGAGAATTTCTGGTAACATCAAACACTATGAAAACGTATGCATAAAATTAGGGCTTACAATAAATCATCATATGATTGATGTGGTTTTAATTTGCTATATTATATAAACTTTTGTGGATGGAAAGATAATTATTTTTGGTTTAATGTACTCCATGAACCTGTCTAATAGACGCTAATAAATGGTGGTTAAGCAAAGCATTCTATACTACAATTGATAAATGCAGAGTACACAAAATTCATTTTCTCTTCAGTGGAGAGCAGGGTTAGCTGATGACCAATTAGCACAACCAGTGGTTTGATACATACATCATGCTTAATTATGATTTGATGACTACAACAAGCTAGTATAATATGTTAAATCCAGCCACTTAATTTGTATTTGTGGTAAGTACTAAAGAGGGATGGCATTGCTGGTTAGCCAGAAAACAGGCACAGTTTGTGCATTAAAAAAAACACAACACAAACTCAACACCAACACAACAACAAAACAAATGACAGTAAAAAAAACAAAATTCAAAGTAGCAAAAGGAGAAAAGAGAAAGAAATAGAATCTTAACTCTTGCAAAAATCATTTGCTTTCGTCCTTGACTTTCACCTTGGTCCTGTCAGCAAAACACCTACACACCAAGAAATACAAAGGTCAGGATCATGATTTGTATCAGGTAACAATAATAAAATACCCATGGAGTCAAAACGTGGGTGTTACAGGAAACATGGTCAACATGTCAGCGAAGTTAAATACAGGAAGCATGATGCAACTCCTAGGCTTGGGAGGAGGAGGAGGAGGAGGGCGGGAGAATCTTTCTGTATTTGCAAACAAGAACTGAGGGAAAATGCCAAAGCTTCACCAATGATCCCCCCCACCACCAAACCATTTGAAAAATATGGATGCTATAAAATCAGCCTTGTGGAAGGTGAAGAAAAGGCTCCAACACCTTTACCCCAAAAAAATAAATCCCAAAGCCCTAAGCTATTCAGTTAATTCTATTCTTAGACAAGATGAAATAACATTCAGCTGTTTTATAAACTACGAGAGTACTTTGCAATAAATAACCCAAAGAAGTAAAATCTCTTTACATTTTTCACATGGAAAAATGAAGTCAGATCAGATGAATACCCCAAGAAAGACAGCCCAGAATGTAGAGTATCACTGTTGTAAATTTATTCTGTGAGAGCCCTCTGAAGCAGGTCAAAGCACTGAGATGATTGAAATGAGGAAATTATTCCTTTAAGATCCCTGGTTTCATATTGTGTAAGTCCTTGATGGTAAACACTCGCCTGTGGCTAGGTGTTCAGAATCGGATCAGGAGCTACTCAGTTCTTTAAGTCCTGGAATAATATTTTATTTTATTTCAGCTTCAATTAATAACCTTACAGCTATATTTTCTTCCAGAGGCAAGTGGTTTTCAAGCAGTATTTAAATGCAGCTCAAGGTACAAAAGATGAAGTATAACCTAACCCGAAGAACACGGATAAATGTCTACGTCAGCTGTATGTTTGTACAATTGCAATACCAAGGCTATTTACAATAAGTTGGAGAAAGAATAAGAAAGGATGAATTGACTACTGGATAGAATTTCTGCATACCAACCTTCTAATT